AATAATTTTTTTGGTGTGAGGTAGGTCAATTTACCTTCATGAAAATAAATATTTAGTACTGAAACAAGGGTGTAAGTCTAGGCTTACTATTTTTCTGCATTTATTCCCATGGATCAATATAATTATTGGTACCTTATAGACTGTATACTTCTGTTTTTATCCAATATAAAATATTTATGCAAGCTTCTGTGAGTCCTACTTCATCAGTAGAAATAATTCAGCTATATGTTGGTATGATCATCCAGTCTGTAATCCAAGTTAGACATTCGGTCTGATAATATAATTTGAGATTTAGTTCAGCCAGTTCACTTCGTTCTTCCATACCTTGCAAATCTTATTTTTATTATAAATTCATCATAGGTTTATAGGAAGTTAAAATATCACTTCATTAACCACTGAAACAATAAATTCAGGTTTCTAAAAATAAAGCATAATTTCACCTTTTTATATTTGAAGGTTGTACGTGGTGGGATTCTTTTATTCATTGATGGTGCAAACAAGTATATTTTAATATATCCAGAGTACATGTCTTTTTTTATCGTTGTTTTATTTTCTTTTGATTATACTGTATATTAAAATACTCTGAACACTGATTTAGAAAGGCAGTACAATAATATGACATAATAAAATTTATTTCAGGAAATATAATCTGTATGTTGTACCTATTCAATAAATTGTATTTCACATCATTAATGAGATAATGAACATCTGGAAAACATGGAAAATTTTGTAAACAATCGTTCATAAGATAGGATAACAAATAATATCTATTGTAAAGTTTTCATTACAAGTTGGAGGACTATTTAAAATGTTGGTTCTGCTTCATTTTAGACACTATTTTATTCCGAAAGATTCTCAAGTACTATACAGTAGAGCACTTAGTATCATGCTGAGAGATTATTTATACTCTGAGAAGATTTCTTAATCCAGTTAAAGATGCAGGGAACAGAATAATTCCACTTCTAATGGGTTGCAAAATGGTAGCAATTCATCAGTGCCTTTTTGTGCAAAATTGTTTGTGATTTCACAAACCTTTTTTAAAAAATCTTTTAGTACTCCTTCATATAAATAGGTATCTTACCAACTGTTTAATTAACTGAACAGAGATGGATGGGACTAGGTTATGGAAATGAACTAACTAATCTAAACTGCTGGCATAGTAAATATCAACTCACAGTACAGTAAATATTAGAATACTTAAATTTTAAGTGGGATATACAGTGGTTCTTTTTGATAGTCCTCTTCCAAAACGTATAATTCCACTGTTTATTTTAAAGGTCACCAGCAATGATTTGGATGTATCATTAGGAATCTCAAGCAGTTACCTATAATCCATATCTTTGCCTAAAGTTAATAGAATATGGAAAAAGGAGATCAAGGAATTTCAGTGTAAATTTTTGGATATTGTTTAAGGTAAAGTTAAATTTAAAAAATGTGCTTTATGAAACATAATTCCAAGAATGGACTTGCTAATTCTGAGCTTTAATAGCCTTTTAAAAAATACTGTAAACTTAAATTCTTAATGGTAGATTTTAAGAATTGATTACAGAGTCATAAAAGGTGAGTTCATTTAATTTGTATGCCACCCAGAGTCAATGTTGAGTTTGATAACCTTATAAGTCTGAATTATAAACATAAATAAATAAATATCAGTAGTCTTTGGTTAACAAAGGAACCAGAATTTAGCTCGCGTAAGCGATGTAGTTGTAAATCACAATATCATGTGACCACATTGCTTAGTGATGACGATCCCAGAAGACCCTGTAGTGATCATTATGCAAGGATTGTTGTTCATCAAGCGAGTGCCAGAGAGCTCACAAGCAGGCCAATAGACAGGTAAGTAGCTATTGCCAGGCAGGGAAGATTGTGCAGGTGGCAGGTATGGCACAAATGTAGCATGGCTGGGGGTGACTTCAAGCAATTTTTGGAGTGACTTGTAACCTTCCTTCTACTTCCCCATTTATTTTGTTCATGGGAAGTCATCAGATAAACACTTCAACCGTCATATGTGCAAGCCAACTGCCAAGTGCCCAGATCACAATCACATGACTACAGGAGTGTGAGACAACTTGCATGCATGACTTTAAGGACTAGTCATTATTGCTCATTCAGTGCCATTGTAACTTCAAACAGTTGTTGAATGAGAAGTCATTGAACAAGGATAACATACCAGTTTTATTTCGCTATAATTTATAGTCTCTTTGTTACTGTGAAGCTTCTCAAACAGAAGTATAAAAAAATCTTCACAGGATTAGCATGATCACAAGGTAAGATGACACTCAAAAGTCAGGAATCACTTGTGTTTTTATCAATTTTCAATGGTGGTTATAACCCAAGAATAAACAGATCCTTTAAAACTTAGAATTTGGGGCCATATTGTCTAATACAACATATTTATTTACTTAACTAGAGAATTCTAGAGCAATTTTGGTATGGGACATGGGGTTAAGATAGAGAAAAAAAGTCCTGTTATAATATTTGATTTACCATACAGTATATACCACTGTGAAAATAATAAAAACTGAGTAGAAGTTTAATGTTGCCTTACTTTTCAAGGATCATAGATTTCCTAAACTTGCTATCCTTTTTATATTCAACTATATATTTTTTTAAAGAATTTTTATTTTTAAAAACAAACCTACACACACAAAACATAAAAACAAAACCATCTTCCATTTTATATACATACAGTGTGTCAGTTGGTTACAAATCTTTTGTGCTATCCTTTTGTAGTCATTTACTCACAATTTATATCAATTTTCACATTGTCAAACTAACATATGCTTATATATTTATCAATTATTAATCATACATGACTGAACTATTTATTCCATCATTTTATACAAGATATTCCAAGTTTTATCTTAAAATTTATGTTATACTTTCAACCAATGATTATATATATATTATATCTTATATCAATCTATTACATTTCTATCACAAAATTATCTAGTCTGTTACATTACCGTATCTTTTTGTCCAACCATTGATAAAACAAATCCCATTCCATATAAAATTGTTTATCTTCTTGTTCTCTAATTTCAAATGTCAATTTACTCATTTCAGCACAGTTCATAATTTTCTTAATAACTTCCTCCTGCATAAGTATTTTATCATTTTTCCAATTCTTAGCAAATACAATTCTAGCCGCTGTTAATACATTTACAATCAAATATTTCAACAATTTGTTGTATATTTCTGATATAATTCCCAATAAAAAAATCTCTGGTTGAAAGTCTATATGTTGTTTTATCATTTTTTCCAACCATGTGTGGATTTTAGTCCAATATTTCTTTGCATCCGAACATGTCCACCACATATGGTAATATGAACCAGGTATCTGATGACATTTCCAACATTTATCCGATTTATTCTTAAACATTCTTGCAAGTCTCGTCAGAGTAGATGCCACCTGAAAAACATCTTATACAAATTTTCTTTATATGCAGTTGACATTGTCATTTTATAATTTTGAGACCACAATTTTTGCCATTTTTCTAAATCAATCCCATTTCCAAAATTTTCTACCCAAGCAATCATCATTTCCTTAACTTGTTCCTCCTCCAATTTAAATTCTAATAAGTGTCCATGAAGTTTCTTAATTACCTTTTCATCAGTACCCATCAAAATCTTATCTAAATCAGTCAACTTGTCATAAATACCTTCTGCTTTAATATCTTTGTCAAATCTAGATTGTATTTGCAAATATGAAAACCAGTTCATTTTTATACCTTATTCTTCCAACGCTTGCATAGATTTAAGTTCACCCTTTTCATTCAATATCTCACCATATCTGTTTGTTCCTTTTTATATATTATTGGATAAGAAAAAGCTTCAATGGTAGATATCCATAGTGGAATTTTTAAATAATATTGTCTTTTTATCTTCTCCCAATTCAAAAACAATACCTCTCGAATATAATGTCTTCTAAAATACCCCTGTGTTTTAGTTCCCTTGTACCAAAGGAAGGCATGCCATCCCAACAGCAAGTCATGCCCTTCTAAGGTCAATAGTCTGTTCTTCCTTAATGTTATCCATTCCTTTACCCACATCAAATTTGTTGCTTGGTAATACAACGCCTAGTTAGGCAAGGCAAACCTCCTCTTATTCTTGCATCCTATAACAATTTTAACTTTATTCTTGCTTTTTTGCCCTGCCAAATATATTTCAACACAATTCTATTTAAATCTTCAAATAACTCTTTCCCTAGTTGGATTGGAATTGTATGGAATAAATATAAAATTCTAGGCAATACATTCATCTTAACTGTAAATATTCTCCCAAACAATGATAACTGTAAGTTTCCCCATTTTGTCAAATCTGTTGCAATCTGCTGTTTGAGTTTAAAATAATTATCCTCCTTCAGTGTACTCCATCTTGATGTAATGTATATCCCTAAATACTTAACCTTGTTTATGACCTGTATTTCTAAGACTGCTTCCAATTCTTTCTTTTGTCTTACTAGCATATTCTTTGTTTTATCTTTATTTATTTTCAAACCTGCTACTTTTCCATATTCTTCTATTTTTCCTATTAATTTAGGAGCTGTTTCCAATGGGTCTTCTAGTATAAATACCAGGTCATCTGCAAAAGCTTGCAATTTATACTCTTCCTTTTGGATTTTCATTCCTTTTATTTCTTTATCTTCTCTAATATTCCTATTCAACACTTCCAATGTTAACATAAACAGCAGGGGCGACAGTGGACAACCTTGCCTTGTCCCTTTTCTTATATCTATAGATTCTGTTAGTTCTCCATTTACCATAACTTTTGCAGTTTGTTTATAATATATTGTTTCAATGGCTTGAATAATTTTTTTTCCAAAGCCCATTTGTTCCAATTGCAATAACATAAATTGTGTGTCTAAAAACATCAAAGCCATTTGGTTCTCAGGATGTGCCTCATAATATTCCAGAGTATCCAAAATAATTCTCACATTGTCTTTGATTTGTCTCTTTGGCAGGAATCCATTTTGATCGATGTGGATAAAGTTATTTAAATATCTTTTTAGTCTTTCTGCCAAAATTGAAGCAAAGATTTTATAGTCTGAATTTAATAGAGATATAGGTCTGTAATTTTTAACTTGCTGCAGATCTGTATCCTCCTTCGGTATAAGTGTAATGTAGGCTTCTGTCCATGTTTGGGGTATTTTTCTAATAGGTGAAGGTTCAGTATTTTCTTAAAAGTCTTGTAAAATTTCGCTGGTAAACCATCTGGACCTGGTGCTTTTCTAACATTCTGTTTTTTTAAAGCTTCTGTTAATTCCCTCATTGTTATATTCCCTTCTAGCATTGTTTCAACATCTTTAGGTATCTGAGGTAAATTCGCTTTCTGTAAATATTGCTTAACTTTTTCTTCTTGAATATTCTCTTGAAAATACAATTTCCCATAGTAATCTTGTATATTTTTTTTCTATGCCTCATTTCCATAACATGTATATCTTTCTTCATTTATTAGTTGGCTAATCTTTCTTGATTCTCCTTTCTCAGTTTATGGGCTAACCATCTGCCTGGTTTATTTGCATCTTCAAAGTAATTCTGTTTGGCATTTTTATTTTTATTTTGTGCTAGTTCCTCTTTTTCCATTAGTCCCATTTTATGTTTAATTATATCCATTTTATTTTTAAATATCTTTTTTGCGGGGACTTCTGCAAATCCTTTTCCAATTTTTTATAATCATCCTGTAATATTTTGAAAGTCTTTTTCTGTTTTATATTTCTTTTCCTTGTATAGTCTATTATCAAACCTCTTGTGTAGGCCTTCATCGTGTCCCAGAGGTTCTGTAGAGATGTATCCTCTTTTCTATTTTCTTTAAAGAAGAAAGCAAGTTCTTTTTCTATTTTCTGTTTAAAGTCTTTTTCTTTTAATATCATATTATTTAAGGTCCATCTGGATCTCCTCTTGTATCCTTTCCAAGTAACTGTCACTGGGTTATGATCTGCCCAAGTGCTTGTTTCTTTTTTGATCTCTGTTATGTTAGCCAGTAGTTTTGCTGACATCCATATCATGTCTATTCTAGACTATGAAGCATGTCTGTTTGAATAAAAGGTGTATTGCTTACTCTCCATGTTTCTCTCTCTACAAGTATCTTTTAAGTTGAATTCTTCTCTTATTTGAAAGAAGGATTTTGATAATATCTTTTTAGCTTTCTTTGTTGATTTCTGCGTTTTGTAATCCAACCGATCATTAACTGTTCTATTAAAATCTCCCATCATACAAATACTAACATAGTCCAATTCAATTATTTTCATATGTAATTTCCTGTAAAATTCTTCTTGGTTATCATTCAGAGCATAAATTGCAATTAAAAGTGTTTTAACATTATTGTCCATTATTTCCACCATCAAAATCCTTCCATCGTCATCTGTATAAATTAATTCTGCCAGTATTATATCATTAATATATAAAACCACACCTATTTTTTTAGATTGTGACAGCGATGTAAATAATTTCCCTATTTTTTTTAAAGTATATATTCATGTTGTTTTTTAATATGTACTTCTTGTAAGCAAATTATATCAAATTTCAATTTCTCTAGTTTATGAAATACTTTCCTTCTTTTAGTAGCCAAATTAAGTCCATTTATGTTAATCGTAATCAATTTTCTTTCATCCATGTTAAGCTTTGTGAGGGGGTTTTATTGCTCTAGTAGGTCTTAATTCTCGTTGCTCTCTGGGCACACCACCTACTGCACCTTCTTCTTTCTCTTTTTCAATTACTGCTATGCACTCCTCTTGGAATTCAATTAGTGACTCTTCCTTTCTAGCTTCTTCCTCTTTTCCTCTAAAATATTCTAAGTAGAATAGCTCGGCTTTTTCAACTGTGTCAATTCTGTGTCTTTGTTCCTGCCAGGTGAACAAGAGGCCTTCTGGCATCAGCCATCTGTAATTTACTCCTCTTTTAAGTAACTCTTTGATCAAAAATAAATATTCTCTTCTCATCTCTCGTACCTCTTTCAGCACCACAATTTCTTTATCTTTGTACTTTAAAGTTTTCTCTCTTGCCACCTGCAGTATCTGTGTCTTGATAATCTTTTTAGTGACTCTGATGTGAACTTCTCTTGACAGTCTGTTTCTCATTGTGTATCTTGTATATACACCGAACACTTCATCCCATCCATCATCTTCTCTTTGGTTATCTCTAACGCTTCTGCCAGTATTTCTGTCATTATTTCAGCAAGGTTTTCACCTTTTCCTTCTTCTACATTTTGAAATCTTAGGTAGAATTCTGATCTGTCAATTTCCCATCCTAATGGTTTGGATCTGCCCTCTCAATATCACTCAATTGAATATCAATATCTCCAATTTTCTTGTCCCTTTGTGTATCTTCTTCATTTTTAAAAAAATCTATCTTCATATTTCATCATCATCTGTTGAATATTTTCTGCTTTCTCATCTGTCTTTTCAATTCTTTGCTCAATGTTCTCCATCCTCTTTTCAATCTTCTGGATTCCTTGCATAATCATCTGTAATGTCACTTCCTTCTCTTTCTCTTGTTGTATAATTGTCTGTATTGATCGTTGTCCTCCAGATGGAAAAAGAAAAGTCTTAATCAAAACAGACTTTCAAAAAATTATTTAAAAAAGTAAAAATGAAAACAAGGATGGAA